CTTTTATTAAGAAAGAAGTTTAAATTCTTAATCGGTCCTGGAAAAATTTTTTAAAATAATAAAAATAACAATAAACCACAAAAACAGAGTACCTCTCATTAAAAGCTATCATGTGGTAGATTAAGCCTCTTGGAAAACATGCAGAATAGTAGCACTATCTTGATAAATAAGCCAAGGCTACAATGTGTTTGTGCTCATAATAAGTAGCATGGAACAATTGCCTCTTCTACAGAACTCTGGGATTTATGTCCAGTCTGTCTGCGCTGGGAACTAGAGAATTAATGCATGAAACTCATCCATCAACACATGTAGAAAAAGGAATCACAGAATAGAAATGAAATTAGCATGGAATTAGTTAGCTGTAGGACATAAATAGAGGTACTGACATTTTCCTGCAACTTCTATATCAAATATCTTTGGAGAACTCACCCAGTTTGGACTGTATTTGATAGCCCTTGTGATTTATTTCAACATTTTCTACCTAAGGTAGATTGTTTTTAAAGTCCTTCAGGTATCCTTAGGATGGATCAGGAAACACAGATAATTCTTCAAGAGAATATGATCATGGGAAGACACTGCTTATTTAGAATAGTCACAATGTGTCATTGCAGCCTCCAGAACAACGCATCACTGTATTTATTAATCCATTGCTACAGAGATTACAGCAATGTGACATGGAGCCTAATGAATTTTTGGCACATTTGGAAATTGTGACTGTTGTTGCCCAGGGAGCCTCTTAAATCAACCCCCCTTTCACTTAGGTTGCCTTTTCATGGTGTATATCACATTGAGAAATGGATTACACAATCCGTAGCTTTAACTACCCTGCATTAGTTGATCTCCTACTATGGATGTGTGTTGCACAGTGTATGAATCATAAGGGAACTAGAATACAGTGACAAATAATTTAAACATGAAATTGGTGATGCCTGGGACCTGATAGGAATAGAGGTAGAGAAATAAAGGCAAAAAGTCAAGGCAAATGAATGGAAGAATCCAGGTATTTGTGGCTAGATTAAAACAAATTAGTGAAGCATGGTGTTTAGAAACATTTCTATTTCACCACTCAACGAGGTAATTTTTTTTTTTTAATATATACAATGCTTTGACCCTCCAAATGCTGCTTCTTCCCTTTTGTATTCAGATCCTCGTTAGTTTGTAGATGGACATTTGGGGGCAAAGATAATTTAGTTCTATAAAGTCTTATTCTTTAAAACAAGCGGCTTATAAGATGAAAGAGAATCATAAACTTAATTTTCCAAATATAGCAACACAGAGTGTGAAGTCAGATGGCATAGGGTCCAGCTTATTTCCTGTTGCAAACTTGTTTTGAGAACTGAGCTAAGTCATTGAACTTATCAGTATCTCAGCTTCCTCACCATCAAAGTGGAATAATAATAACCAGTCTTTCAAACTAATAAATAATCAAATGAGGTCTTATATACTGTCTTAACTAGGACATTTGGGAAACAAGAGGTAGACACTCACAAAGATACCTCAGGGAATCGGTAATTTTTCCCAGGATAGACAGGAATTGCAAATGACAAGGAGCATAACGAAGCAGCCAAAGCTCATCTCTCGTTTAAAGGCCGTGTGGTCTTATTCTCTCTGCAAGTCAGCTTCGTTCCTCTTTCTAGCTGTGGCACCCTAGTGAGGTCCTCTCACACATGGGCCACAGTGGCAATTCTGGACTTGAATCTATTTCATGACCTTTCAGTTTAGCAAGTATTGAAAGCCACCGAGCCTCCAGTTTTTCAAATATGTCAAGCTCATTCCCCCATCAGGGCCTTTGTACTTGCACTTCCTTCTTCCGGAAATGCTCTTCCCCCAACTCTTTGCCTGCTCCTCCTTCAATTCATCTAAAGCTCTATTGAAACCTCATCCTTTTAAAAAGGCCTTCCCTGGCCACTGCAACTATTATACTGTCTGGTACTCTTTTCTCCTTATCTCGTTTTATTTGCTTCATTATCTTTTTTCCTTTCTTCTTCTTCTTTTTTTTTTTTTTGTCTTCTAGCTCACTACGCTTCTTCTTCTTCTTCTTTTTTTTTTTTTTTTGTCTTCTAGCTCACTACAAATCAGGTCAATGGTGTTGGGAACTTTATTTTCTTTACTTTAGTATGACCTTTGCTTAGAACAGTGCCTCACACAGTCAATATTAGTTGAACGTATATTTTATGAATAAGTGAAAGAATGAGTGCCTGACTTCTCTAGATTTATAATCTCAAATTTCTAAGAGAAGAATGAAAAAGATTCATTTCATATTTTTCAAGAGAAACCACTCCAATCAAATGATGGCCAGCTTACGAGTTGGTATCCTTGTGTCAGCTGCCCACCCCTTGGCCTGCTCAGAGATAAGGTTGAGATGGGATCACTTTATGTAGTACAGAAGGCAGGCACTTACAGTGTCAGGCAGGCAAATCCCCTAAGTGGGACTTGAGTGGCCCAGCCTTGATGGCACCATGAGTTTTGTGAAGTAACAGCTTAGCTCTAATAGACACAGAGAGGCCATAAACCTTTGTCTAGAAATGTCAAGGTCAGGAACTAGGTTGGCTCCTCTAGGTACTAGCTCTCTGGCCTCAGTCATAGTTTTCCTTAATTTTATTTTCTATCTGCTTTGTATTTTATATTGAATTTTTTGAGCGATCAGTAATAATCATAGTTAGTATTTTTAAAATTCCCTATGAGCCTGCTACATTATGAGAATATTAGTGTAGTTTAACTCCTGAAATCCTCAGTCATCCTGTGAGGTGGGTACTATGATTATTTTCATTTTGAAGATGAAGAAACTTCGAATTGGAAAATAAGTTGCCCTAGTTCACTTAGTGAGTAACAGAACCAAGATTTGAATCTAGGAATTCTGGTTCGACCTCCCCATCTAACAAGACTATTTCATACATTCATCCCACTATGGGGCTTAGCAAGAAGCCATTTTCTTAAAAATAACATTCTAAGGTAGTAAACACATGCAAATATGCTGTTAAAATGTCAAAATAGTCTGAGTAAGCTATTCTTAATAAACATTTAAAGTACATCAAATATGCCTTTGGGTCTGTGCAGTTTTATAGATGTAAATTCTAGTATTCTCTATGACCTTTGCATCTGTTTTTATATATGCACAACAGAAATTTAAAATAGCTTGCCCAGATTGGCAGAGTTTTCAGTTAAGAAATTTACCAATTTTTATAATAAGCAAATACTAAAGCCTTAAAATACCGTGCTCTACTTCATGTCTTCTCTTTGGATTTTGGCAGTACTCCATAATAACAAATTTTAAACAGTGTCAGAAACAATCGAAGTTATAGTTTATAGTAAATACTAAGCAACAAACAATTTTGTTGGATTTCTTGAGCTATGTTTAAAATGAGAACATAAACACATAGGTATAAGGTAGATGCTTAAGAAAGAATTCACTGAATACCGATTATTTAGTATCTTCCACATGCATGGCACCATGTTAAACACTGGGAATTGTACAATAATATATACAACAGTGTTCCAAATACATGTTGTGGGCTTTTTTCTGAACCACGATAACAAACTCGAAAAGTCAGTATGTGACTGCTCCAATCCTTTGTAATATACAATGTAGGCAGACCAATAGTTTAATTCCTTGAACCTATATAAATTTCCATCATGAACTGGTGAGTAATCATGGGAATTTATTGTTTAAATAGACTGGAGTGTTCCCATTACATTAAATTGAGGCTCGTAAGTATTTATCCTCGTATTTTATAAGGGTGGTATAGAGATGAGAAAAAGGCCATATTTTCAAATATCCATCTATGGCCTGCTGTTCTTTCTATCTTCAAGTAGCATGTTAGTTTTATTGTTGTTTTGCACACGTGCTTTTTAGAAAAGGCCATAATTTGCTCTGAAGTGTCTTAATTTCGACCCCATTGGCGAAGTTGTTCAAGGTCGTCATGGCCCATATTCATCAATCATGTGTGCCTCATGGATTTTCTTTGTCAGTAGTACATATCAGTATGATTAATGCTTCAGGGTTCACATTCAGGAATCTGATTGGATAACTGTCGTTTCATTTGTTGGAACTTATAATTCAAAAAACATTGATGAAGTTGTCCATGAAAAGAGGGCAATGCAAGTCAGTTTTACTTATTATGAACAACAAAGCTTGGTCATTTATTAATGTAAACAGGCTCTGTACTCCAGTGTACTCCCTGTGCTTCAGCAAAGAGATTAGGGAGGGGCATTAACTCTTTGAAGTGACTGTACTGTAGTATTAAGTGGAAGCTCTGTAATGTGAGAGTGCTATCATATTGTGTGGAAGGCTTCATCACTGGGAAAATGATGGTTCATGAGTGTTTTAGTAAAACCTTATGTATTTTGTTGTTTCTAAGAGGGAGTAGTAATTACTTTAAAAATATATTTATTTTTTAATTACAAAATTACTTATTTACTTATCTAAAGAGATATATTCTTATAAGAATGATAGCTGTTTATTATTAAAAATAAAATAAAGAACATCAAATAAGCTTTCAAAAATCCCTTGAAATCTTATTATCCAAAGATGACTGTTCTTAGAGATCTTAGAGGGGCATAAGGCATAACGGAGTATGGAAACAGATCCAATGTTTTCTAGAAATTTAGTAAATGATAAAAGGTGCATTTTAAGTCAGAAGAGTTTTTTTTTCAAAGTAAATTGTGTTGATATAGCTGGCTTCTCTTTTTGAGGGAAAAACAGCTTGTTCTCCATCTTACTCTTTACACTTATGTAAATTTCAAACATATCAAAGACTTATTTTTTTAAGTAAAATTATAAAATTATTATGATAAAATATGGTAATATTTCAAAGTAGTTTTTAGAAGCTTTTTAAAATGTGTCAGAAATCTTGAAATTAAAAAAGAAATAAATTTGACTGAATAAAATAGAAAAAATAGTAATTTATCAAAAAACAAAACACTACAAAAATCATAAAATTAAAAACTAAAATGGGATGAAATGGAAACACATGACAAAAATAGAAACTACAAGAGGTATGTATAAAGACAAATACTTCTTCACAAAACTAGAAAAAAACAGTAAACATATACTTTCTTAGTGTTCAAAGTATTAATAAGCACATACTAATATATAAAAAATACATAGTACACAATTTTTTAATATTTTAGGAAATTCCAATACAATCAACAAATGGAAAGGACTTTATCGTCATTAAGCCAGTGAAACCTAGTTGTCTTATTTTTCTAGTTTATGTGGTATTTAGCTCGCACATGGTCTGCTTACTTGTAGAAGGGATGGGATGGATAACACCAGCAATATCATATATGAGTCTACATGGAAGAATGTCTTGGAATTTTTTAGATTTTACACATAAGAGATAATTTTACAAGATGCATTTGTAATTTTAATACAGAAATAAATGAATGATCAACATTGTTCAAAATAGAATTTTTTAACACACTCTCATGATTGATATTTATGCATCAACCACTATGAAACTCAGACTGTTATTGAAAAGAACCTTTCCATCTTTCTTTACACTAAATTCAGGCTCCTGCAGATCTTTCACAATTTCTGCTTTGAGATCAGGTGGCGCTGTTGTATTAAAGTTGCAGGTTTCTGTCAAAAAATCCCAAAGCAGGTCTCCATTTTCATTGCTATCAATAAAACAGTCAGATATGTCCATGGTGGACAGAAGGTCATAACACTCATACTTAATCCCCAACTTGTCCAGCATCTGAGTGAGGTCAGTAGATGTAACATACTGGCAGAGGTCATCACGGGGTAAGCGGGATCCATACTTTTTCCATAGCTTGTCCCAGCCACTGATTCCTGTGTGACAGAACAAAGTTCATGTTTTTATTCTTTCTTTCATTTACCTGTTCTACAAGGCAGTACATTAGATGCTTGGGATAGAGTAGTTAATAAAAAATATCCTTGCCTTTGTGTAGCTCAATTCAAGGACCGAGGGTGGGAGTGGTGTGAGGAGAAAGTTAAATAAATGAGTAAATAAATTATGTATCAGATGGTGCTAAGTACTAATGAAAAACAAATCAGAGCAAGGAGTAAGGAAGGTCAAGGAGTTGGATGGTTGTTGATTTATACAGGGTGGTCACAGAGAGTCTCTCTTATAATGTGACATTTGAGCAGAGACATGCCAATAAGCTATGCAGATATATCAGAGGAAAGATTATTCCAGGATGAGAGAAGAGCACCTGCAGAGGATCTGAGGCAGGAACATGGTTGGCATGTTTAAGTACTATCCGGGAAGCCAGTGAGATTGGAATTGAATGAACAAGGGAGAGAGTGAATGGAAATGAGAAGCCATTGTAGTGCTGTCTGATAGAACTTTCTGGATTGTTGGACAAGTTCTCCGTTTGCATTGTCCAGTATGGTAGCCACTAACCACTTGTGGCTATGGATCATTTGAATGTGGCTAGTGTGACTGAGGAAATGTGTTTTAGTTATATTTCATCTTAATGCATTTAAATTTCTATTTCAGTAGCCAAACATGGCTTCCATATTGAACAATGCAACATTAGGTTGACTTAACATAATGTGCATTTTAATAAGGTCACTCTGGCCACACAGATGAGAACAGATTATAGGGGAATAAAGACAGAAGTAGGGAGAACAGTAAGATTATCGCTACTGCGATAATCTGTGTGACAGATAATGGATGGTAAATTAGACCAGTGAGTTTGGAGGTGATTAGAAGCTGCTGGGTTTTTTATATGTTACACTACTAGATCCATTGCCATTTGCCAACAATTTGGATATTGGATGTGAGTAAAAGAAAAGAGCCATTGATGACTCCAATGGTTTTGGCCCAAGCACTTGAAAAGAGAAAATTGTTATTATTAGAAATGAGAAGAAAGATGGAGGAGCACGTTTACACGTATCATCAGGCATGATTTTGGATATTCATGTAGTGATAGAAAGAAGACAATTATTTGTGTTAGTCTGGAATTCAGAAGAGAGTATCTACAGAGTAAAAACTAAAATTGAAAGAAAGAACACAGTAAACACAATGATGATATACTCAAACTAGAGATGAAGTAGCTCCTCCTGTCTGTCCACTTACTAGATGCTGTCTTGGGCTGCCAATAACTAGACTGATTCCTACAAATGTTGTCCCAAACGTTAGAAGATGTTTTAGCAATGTCCATTGTATTTAACTGAAAACCCAACCCAGTGGAGAAGCTAAGAGATGCAGCAGCTGAGGGAAAAACAGATAGGTTGCACTATTCTTCTGACACTTCCGAGGTTTGTTATTTAGTCTCTCAGAACCTGAGTTTTTTCATCAATAAGATGGGGATAAGGAACATTTACCTCAACTGCAACTGCCAGTATTAAATGAGATACTTTAAGTGAATCATTGCACAATGCTAAGCACATGACAGATGTGTAAATGAACGTTACGTGGAATTAGTTTGATAATGTATTTCTACTGGTCATAATCTTGAGACTGTGAAAAAGCAAACTTGCTATTCAGAAATCTATAATTATAATAAATCAAAATGAATAATATCAATTTATGGACCTTCTAATACATGCATATAATACTGGGCTGTTATATACACAGTGCAGAGCAGTCGTTAGGAGTGGTAACTAAAGCCTGACTGCTTGAGCTTGAAGTCTGCCTTTTCCTCTTACTAGCTGTATGAGCCTGTGCCTCAGTTTTATCAACTCTAAAACAGGAGTTATAATAGTATCTATTCACAGAACTTCTGAAAGAATTAACTGAATTAAGAAAATAAGGCACTTTCTTAACATAGTAAACACTGAAGTGTTAGGTAATTAAGTTGGAGTTGGCCAAAGCAACAGAAGAGAGAACCGATATTTTATATGAACTCCCAATATTGAAGGCTTGAGCTTTTTTTGGTTCTCAGACCTCCTTTATGATCTAATGAAAGTAACGGACTCTCCAGAAAAGTACACAAACAATACATACCCACACGGTTGTGCATATAATTACGGGATGCTCAAAGCCCCCTCACCCTCATCCACTGACTAGGCTGAAGTCCCTTGATTTAACTTAATAAAAGAGATTCTCCAAGACAGGAAATGGTAATAAAAATAACTTAGATAATTGATGTCCCACTTATATTTCAGAAGACAGAGTGATAACTTCAGTATATGCTCTAGGAATTGAAATGAAGCAGAAAAAAATAAAACCTCAGTTCAATAAAAAAAAAAAAAAAAACGAAACGAGAGTCATGAGTATATATTAAAAGATCTTTCATACCAAATATAGTGATTGTCTTCCTGAATAAGAATTTGCCTACAAACAGGACTTTACAAGAAAATAAATATATCAGTGGTTGATATAATGTTAGAATAATGTTATCATTATTATTTTTTTAACCTGGCAGAGAAAAAAGAACAAAACAATATTGCCTAAAATTTGCTGGTGTCAGTGTTCTGTGACTCAGTGCCATTTCTGAGCTGACCAATTATATACTTTCTGACTGATGCATTATAATGGCTCTCGGTGGGAATAGCATATGGTGTTACTTTTGTTTTCAACATGATATAAATCAGATTGTTTTTTTTTCCTTGATGTATTAAAAATAACAGACCATGATTTGCCTCCTTCCTTAAAGAGAGGAAAAGACAGAAAATTTTAGTGATCTCTTTCTAGCTAACTTCTCTTAAGAGAGACTTCATGTTAATTAACAACCCATTCAACTAATACCTGGCATAACTTCTCTTAAGAGAGACTTCATGTTAATTAACAACCCATTCAACTAATACCTGGCACTACATTTACAGAAAAACATGTCACTGACATCATTTTAGTGTGGGATGCACCTCTTATTCTTATTTCTCTTCTTTTTATCCCCAAATCAAATCTTTTACCTTCATAGTCAGGAACTTCTGCTTGCTATAATTAGATGACTATTTACTGAGCCGGCCTAGTTCTGTAATGGATACTTAGGAACACAGAAGAAATCTCTTCCCTTAAGCAAGATTTGGTAATAAAGCAAAAATTGAACTAGGAGCGGAAATTTGGGGGAAACAGTAGCTGGCAACCAACAGGAGTATATAAGCATGACCCCCAGGAATCCTCAGGAGTCACAGGGCAAGTGAAAAACCACCCAGGTTACTTGGAATGAGAGCTCCAGTCATTTATTCTGGATTTTTATGAGTCAAGGATAAGCCTGTAAAGTGGGGAATGTGGAGACATTCAAGTTATACTAAGTTGATGACAAAGATAAACATATTTGACAATTTTATTTTCCTTTTCAGGTAGAATATTTTCTTTAATTGCAAAGGAAATCGTATTGAACAAGGTGGTTTTATTTTTAACTTTTGTTACTTATATTTAATTTCTTTACTTAATAACTCATGATAGAGGCAATAAAGCTATGACTTTTAGCCTTAGGAGACAAGTGAATGTCCAAAATAAAATACCTAAATCTGTTTTCTCCTTTTGATAAGCGGTTTTTTAAGAAGAAATATCATCTAAGAAAGAAGCGTATATGATAAAGGAAAGTTGGTAATAGAGAGTCTATTTAATAATTCAACAACTGTTATTATTGCATGCTTACATCTAGGAACAATATTAACAAGGTTCCTTCTTTGGGATACCTGTCTCCTGTGCTGTGTGCAGTGATGAAGAATTATGAATTACATACTGAAAAAGTTAGTGAAATACGTCCACCATCAAACCACACTGATTGAATAATATTTGACTCAAAATACTTTTTTTTAAAAAAGCGAACTGATTTTTCAGCCTTTACTGTCTTTGATTTTTCCCATGAAAGTATATATAATAGTATAAATGAATCATATATATGCAGAGATGCACTATAATGTAAGTATGATTATCCATAAATAGCCTTTGGATCAATTTAGACTCAAGTTCACACAGCCAAGACATGCCTCAGCATTCTTGCTTCATGTATTATCACAAATTTCACTGGGCCTATTTTGGTTTGTACATTTCTTGATGCCAATAAGCCATGGATTGTATTAATTTATTCATGATATAGCCAGCAGAATACTGTATTCATAAGGGCACTAAGTCAATTCTCAGTTGCTTGTAGACTACTCATGTCACTTCTAAATCTTGCGCTGGCTTCTTCTTATTGGTGGACATCTACTCATAGAAAGCTGCCTTCTGAGACTCAAATACCTCTGAAAATACTTAGGAATAAACCAAATATAAATATGAGTGGACCTGCTATTGATATTAAATGTGTTCTAAAATCAAACGTATTATTTCTGGATGAATCATTGTTTCTGCCTGCAATACTTTTTCTGTATTATTGATACAGATTATTAAGAATAGACTGCCTTCAATATTAATAACTAAATTTACTTATGCGTTCCTAAATGCAATACAAAGTGCTTTACCCAAGTGTCCTAATTTAGAGAGGTTAGTAGGAAGCAGCCAGTTTACATAAGCCCTTCTAAATGGGAAGACAGAACCTTCCCACATAAATGAGTAATTTTAACTAAACAGAGATAAAAATAGTATATCGAAATGTTTCCTTGGGAAGAGGTTGTGTATAGGAGCTCTCATTTGCCAAAATCTCACATGAGTTCAAACCTAGGATTACAGGCAACAGCCATGTTTGCCATCCTTAAAGTCATTCTTCATATTTAAGGATAAATGAATTTTGTGACATATGTTTTTTGACTATGGGGTCTGGTATAAACTTAAGAAAACAGAGAGTGTTATGTATCTGGAATCTATCTGCCTAGTACTGTGTGTCTAGTCCATAAAGATTGCTGTATGAAAGAAGTAATGCACTAATGAATTCAACAATGTCAGTGTTTCATTTGCTAACATGTTTACTCACATTCTCTGTGTGGTACTTATTATATCCCAGGAAGCAACATGACAGGGTCAAATGTGTTCTTTTAAAAATACAATGCAAAACAAGTGAACCATTTTTGATAGTTATTTGAGAAAACCTATAATGAACAATATTGATAATGTCTCTAGAATTACAAATTAGTCAATATGATGGCATCCAAAATATTTAAAGCTTTATTTATTAATAAATATAACAGAAGGGAAAGAAATATTCAAGGGAAAAAAAAAAAAAAGAGGTAAACAGAAACAGTTAATATTTTTAGTCTCATTGAAAAATTCCTAACAGTTGTATTTGCTCTATGTTACGTAAAAAATAATTTTATATAGATAATAACAAATTTCCCCAGGATAAAGAAGTAAGTAGACATTTAATTCTATTAGACTCCCTAAATTGAGAGCTGTTGTGAAGGACTTTCCTAAAATGGCCTTCAAACGCATGCATCCATTCATATGTGCACTACTGCTGTTTTAAAATTCAGGCTGAATGAAAATAACTTACCTGACACAAGAATAATAAGAATCTTAGCATTGGAAGCTAAGAGACTATGGAAGAATTTCAAGGTAGCTGGGATGTCTTTTACATAATACAGCATCTAGAAATGAAGGAAAAGAGAAATGAGACACTTTTGTATATCAATGTCTTTGATGCTTGGATTAGATACTCACCAGAAAGTTTGATTTTCAAATTGAGTAGATTTTACTCAACAAAACACTTAAGAAATTTAAAAGTTAAAGATATTATATGGAGAGGTGAAATAATAATGTGAGAAAACATTTGAAGAAAGGAAAACTATGTTAATTGCTGAACTAGAGCCAAATAGTTTTAAATTTACTCTTCTGGCTTTAATAACACAGACATTTATAGTTGGAGACACTTAGTCTCCACTCCACATGGAGGCAGTGATTCTATGTTTACTTTATATATTGTGAATTGTAGTTCTTCTGGGAGAAAATGGTGCTGGCACCGTAACGACAGACCTGAGCTCTGGAACGCTGCTTTAAAATTAAGTCCTTTGCACTAACTTCACCATATGCTCCCAGATGCTTTTTTTCTAAATAACAGAAAATGTTACAGACTCTGATGTTCACTGATTCTCTAAGAAAGGACCGGATTAAGCATGAAGTTATATCCTTGGTCACAAGATGCTAGGAGTCAGTCCACCCTTTTTGAATAATTCTGGACCATCTCTGGTGAAGTGAAAGGAGACGCCTTGCCACCCAACACATATAGAGCTTGGGATTATACATTGGCAGTGAAAAATTTTCCCTAAGGGCTTGTATTCCTAGATTCTACCTCCACAGACAGTTACTTCTTATACCTCATCTTCATCTCCTTTGGACAAGAATTCCATATTCTATAGATTCCCATGATGGAATTTATTGCCTAAAACAAAAACAATTAAGCTCTGCCCCTCTCACTTGAATGAATGAAATAAAATGGACCTGCACATGGCCTATGATGCCTCAGGGACCATATATGGTATCAGATCATTCCATGCAATTCACCACAGGGACCATACATAGGTAGGCAGATACAGCTAGCTAATCCATAAAATGGCTAAAAATCTATGACATGACCTAGTGAAAAAAGAGTAGGTGGGTCATAGTAGATACTTAGAAATTTGGCCTAATAGACCCTGAGATTCTTTGCAGTTGGCAGTGAATATTAAATCGAAAGAATGTCATGGCAGTGTTAGGACTACAGGAAAAATGAAGAGACAGAGACATAGCACAGAAAAAATACGGAGTACAGACAGGAAGAGAGGAACAGAGGAAGCAGAGTTCTTATAAGACAGACCAAACATGGAAGCTTTAAGATAAATAGGAGAATGATCACTGAAGCTGTAAAATTTTATAACAGGTAAAGACCCAGAGCATAAGTGAAGGGATTGGCTTTAGATAAACAGAGGCTTTTGTAATAATATGAAAGAAAGAGATGGTGAGTACACTTGCAGCTATGTTTGTAAATTTGGAGAGTGAAAAAAGATGAGTTTCCATCTGATGGTTTCTCTTTTTCCTATACAGTATGGAATGAGGTCATCAGCTGGGAATGAGTGGTGGGGAAGGGCTATGGAGGTGTAAGGAGAGAGAGGGAGCTATGAAATAGTGATAGGAGCAGGTGAGAAAGGAAGTTTAACAGAGAAACATCATAGGCTTCCTGGGCAATCTTAACCACTCCTCACAGGTAAGAGACTTTATCAGCTAACAAAGCAGAGATGCGGCATTGCCTAAATATCTCTACCTTGGAGTCTTTTCTTCCTTTGATTTTTTTCATGTTTATTCCTTTGGGGTGACTGTACTATAGAGTATAGAAAGTAAGAAGCATCTTGTTAACTGTGCTATTTCTATTATATATACATCTTCTAAAGGATGCCTATATACCTGTATGGTGTCCAGAAATATGTCTCCATACCATCTACTGAATAGTCACTACCTTTCCAAGAAATACAATGTTGGTGCTAGACCATGGAAATAAATTCCTACTGAAGGACTAACTGACATTAATAATTTTTTGTGACCCGAAGAACCATCTAACCTGCCCCTTTTGTCACAAGCACACTAACCAGGTCATCAACAGAAGGCAAAAGCAAGAGGATACAGAAAAACTCTGAGACATTGGTCCATCTAGACCATGAGAGCTATTGAACTGTGTTACAATATGTTAGACTCTACTGTCAAATTATCTATGAACTTTCAGTCCTACAAAATTGTGGAGAGCGGATTGCAAGCTGACAAGGTCCTTACAGTCTGTGAGGTCAACCAAGGGTTGCCTCACCTCTAGGAACCCTCCTAAGAATGGGGAAGTACAAACTGATCAGAGAACAAACTGGTGTCACTCCTGAGGCAGGGATGAGCAGACAGAAATGCAAAAGATTATAGCAGGGTGTGTAGGTTGGGTGGGGATAATCTTATTTTAGTTGGCAATTGCATATGCTCTTGTACAAAAGCAGCTTGCAAAAATAAAACTGGGCCACTACTCCTTCATCAGTGGATAGTGGACCTCTTGATCCCAGCTTTCTATCTTCCTTCTTTTCTTAATCTCCCACCATTCCCACTCAGGTTTATTTTCCAGAGCCGTGCTGGACATGGCAGGATTTACCACTTGCTGGACTCAGCACAAAATTACTTAAGCCATTTGAAAAAAAATCAATAACTGGAAGTATTTTGAGTGGAGCAAACTGGCTTTTTAAATGTTACAGAGAAATTCTTAGTTTTATCAACATCTTTATCCTCTATTTGAATATGCTCACTTATAAAATCTTAAATCAGATTGTCATTTTTATTTTTTATATTTGTATATTTTCTATTATAGTTGACATACAATATTATATTAGTTTCAGGTGTACAACACAGAGATTAGTCATTTATGTAACTTATGAAGTGATCACCCTGAATAATCCAGTATCTAGTACCCATCTGACACCATACATAATTATTACAATAATACTGACTGAATTCCCCATGCTATACTCTATAGTCCCATGACTATTTTGTAACTACCAATGTGTACCTCTAATCCCCTCCCTGCTTCACCCATCCTCCTACCCCCCTAATCTGACGGCCATCAAAATGCTCTCTGTATCTATGGGCTTGTTTCTGTTTTTGTTTGTTTATTCTGTTCTCTATTTTCCATATGGTATTTGTCTTTCTCTGTCTGACTTACTCTACTCAGCACAGTACCTTCTAGGTCCATACATGTTGTTGCAGATAGCAAGATTTCATTCTTTTTTATGCTGAGTATTATTCCATTGTGTGTATATGTGTATATACCACCTTTTTTTTAGTCATTCATCCATTGATGGACACTCAGAGTGCCCCCATATCTTGGCTACTATAAATAAATAATTCTGCAATGAACGCATGGATTCACATGTCTCTTTGAAGTAGAGTTTTGGGTTTCTTCAGATAAATACCCAGAAGTAGGATTACTAGGTCCTTCCTTGTCTGGTATAACTATTGCTACCCCCAGCTTTTTCTTTGTTTGTCTGTACCCATTTTCATGAAATATCTTTTTCCAGCCCTTTACTTTCAGTCTATGTGTGTCTTTCAATCTGAAGTGAGTTTCTTAGAGGCAGCATATGTAAGGGTCTTGTTTTCTTATCCATTCAGCCACCTTATCTTTTGATTGGAACATTTAATCCACTTACACTTAGAGTAGCTTATCTTTTGATTGGAGCATTTAATCCATTTACACGTAGAGTAATTGTTGATAGGTATGTAGTTATTGCTATTTTATTATTCATATTTTTTACCTTTTTTTTCTTTTTCTTCAAGAAGTTCCTCTAACATTTTGTGTAATACTGGTTTGGAGGTTAAGAGCTCCGTTAGCTTTTTCTCACCTGGGAAGTCCTTTATCTGTCCTTTGATTCTCAGTGATAACTTTGCTAGGTAGAGTAATCTTGGGTAGGTCCTTGCTTTTCATCACTTTGAATATTTGGTGCCAATCCCTTCTGGCCTGCAAAATTTCTATTGATAAATCAGCTGACAGTCCTATGGAAGCTTCTTCATAGGTAACTAATTACTTTTCTCTTGCTGCTTTTAAGATTCTCTGTGTTTAACCTTTGGCACTTTAATTATGATGTGTCTTGGTGTGGGCCTCTTGGAGTTCATCTTGTTTAGGACTCTGTACTTCCTGGGCTTGTAAGTCTATTTCCTTCACCAGGTTAAAGAAGTTTTCAGTCATTATTTCTTGGAATAGATTTTTAATTTCTCGCTCTCTTCTCTTTCTGGTATCCCTATGATACAAATGGTAGTATGCTTGATATTGTCCCAGAGGTCCCTTAAAGTATCCTCATCTTTTTGGATTCTCATTTCTTGTTACTGTTCTAATTTGATGTTTTCTGATAGCATTTCTTTTAAATTGCCGATTTGATCCTCCACGTCATCAAATCTTTGCTAATTCCTCCTAAGGTAGTCTTCATTTCAGTTATTATATTCTTTAATTCTGACTGGTTCTTTTGTTTCTTATCTCCACTTTCACGTTTTCTATTTCTTTGTTAAAGTCCTCACTGAGTCCATCTATTCTTCTCCTAAGTTCATTGAGCATCCTTATGACCAGTGTTTTGAACTCTGCATCGGATAGATTGCTTGTCTCCATTTTGTTCAGTTCTTTTTCTGAAGCTTTGTTATGTTCATACATTTGAGATATGCTTCTTTGTCTTTCCATTTTGACTGCCTACCTGTGTTTGTTTCTATGTATTAGGTAAGGCTGCTATGTCTCCCAGTCTTAGTAGAGTGGCCTTATGTAGTAGGTGTACTGTGGATCCCAGTGGTCCAGTCTTCCCTGGTCACCTGAGCCAGGCACTCCAGGTATGTCCCTGGTATGGGTTGTGTGTGCCCTCCTGTTGTAGTTCAGCTTTGGTTGCTATTTGCATGTCAATGGGAGGAATTGACCTTCAGGCTGATTGGTTGTGAGGACTTGAGGGTGACTACAGTGGAGAAGCTTTTATGCAGGAGCTGATACACTTTAGCAGGGCTCAGTCTACCCCTTGGGTGTATCATTTTCTAGGAGATGCTCAGGCTCAGACTAAAGCTGGCCAGTGGATATGGCCTTCTGGGAGGGGCACTGCCACAGGCCAAGTTTACCATGGCCTGTGCCCTGCCCAGGGCCATGTGGCATGAGCCACCAAGCAATCCACAGATAGCCACAACCCATGCTGAGCTAGGATGTGCCTCAAAAGGCCAAGCCACAAACCAAGGCCAGCTGCCACTTGCACAGCTTGAAGCTGCTCAGCAAGAGGTACGGAGTATGCTAAGGCCAGATGGTGCTTGTTTGGGGTTTGTAAACCTTTGAGAGATTTTAGGAAAGTCCTCTGCATGAGCCAGGACAGGACTTTCGTATGGAAATTCCACTGGAAGTGGTTTTGGGTGGGCCTGCATGTTGGAAGGGGCCTGGTTTCAGGAAATCACCAGGGCGGGGCAAACTGTGTTAGCTATGTTGATGGAGACTCAGATATGGTGGCTGCCTGGGTTAGTAAGCCTGACGGGAGAGGGCTCAACAAAAGAACAATGGCCTCTGCCAGCACTTCTGTCTGGGAGAAAGCCACACTTCTAGCCCTTGCCCTAAAGCTAGACAACTCAATTCCTCCCCATATGTCACTGGAGCCTTTCAAGCTGCTGCCCCAGTGCTAGAGCTCAGAGAAAGTGAGTCTATCACTAAGTAAGTGTACACACAGGCCCCTTAAGAGGAAAGTCTGCTACTCCTTCAGCCTTGCATTTCACTCAGCCACAAACTCTGCTGTTTTTCACAGTGGGGACTTCTCTTTCCAGCACTGGAACCCTGGGCTGGGAAGCTCAGTGTGTGGCCAGGACCCCTCACTCTTCCAGGGGACCACTGTAGCTGAGATATTTCTCCCAATTCTCAACTGCCACAGGTGGGTGTGGGACCAGCCTGTTTTGCACCTCTGTCCCTTCTACCATCTTGAGGTGGTCTCTTCTGTGTGTCCCAAGTTGTAGGATTTCTGTTCAGCCAGACTCTTGGTGACTCCCAGAGATGGTTGTTCTGTTTAGTGGTTGCGAGAGGAGGCAAACACAGCATTTAACTACTTCGCTATCTTAACCAGAAGCTGTCGTTTTTTTTCTAAAGTTAGACTATTAGGCACTCTTCATACATATTTCTGAAAAATCTTCTTTATGAGTGTATATAACAATAAATATTTCTTACCTGAATCATATGAATAAAGTCCCACTTCTGAAGTTCTTTTTTCTCTATCATTCTATTTTGATATTCAGATGATGTCTCTTTATGCCAAACAAACTTTATGTTCTCGAGGTTTGATGACTTGGCTACAAACTCTGAAATACAGAGAAGAGGTGGCACACCATCAATTTTAATTGCAAATGTGAAACCCATTTCCATTTAGAATTTTAATGTAATCAGTGTTATATACATAACAGATATAAAGCACATTTTCTTTTTTTATGTAGCTCTGGAAGACCAGAGATTAATTTTGATTTTTTTTCTAGTATTAAATGAAATTAGAGATGAAAGAAAGAGTCAATAAGAAATAATTATGAGCACCCTGATCAAACATAGGTTACATTACCTAAGTATTAATAGGAAATAAACTGAAGGATTTTATCAATGGAAAACTGATGTGGAACAGATGATATGATTCTGTAACCCAGAAGTCAGCAAACCATGGCCCATATCTTGCACACTACCTACTTTTAAATGAACTGCATGCTAAAAACATACTTTTTGCTTCTTGACATCATGCTTCTGTCTTTCATATCTGATGTCATTCCATTTTTAAGTGGTTGAACAAAATCAAAAGAATATTATTTCATTATATGTGAAAATGATATAAAATTCAAATTTAGTGTTTATAAATAAATTTTATTGGAACATACCAAAATTCTTAGTTTATGTGTTGTCTATGGCTGCCCTAGTGCTACAATAGGAGAGTCGATTAGTTGTGACAGAGATCGTATGGCCTTCTAAGTCAAATATTTAAGACTATTTGGAGTTTTTCAGAAAAAGTTTGCAAAATCTTGCTATCACCCATTAAACATAAGCTCTTTAAGGACAGGGATTCTGAGTAAATATTTCTGAATGAATTAATGACTGTCTCTGAGAATAAACATCAAAAATAATAGTTGGTGACCAGCGAATGGATGGAGAGTCTGTAAAAAAAGTTCAATTATTCACTCTTCATATTCTGAGATTTTTAGTTATGCCTGTCAAGAAAATAAATTGATTATTTATTATAAATTGATTATTGATTATTAATTGAGAGGTTCTCCTCCCAATAAGATTACAAAGAACATCCCAAGTAACTATGTTTTTAATGACTGAAGGGACAAATTGGGATGGCAAGCCTTTCAGGATAGAATTTGACATACAGCACCAGGGGTTATAGGTACCTTTGTACTTGGCGATTTGTTCAGTGCTTGGTTCGACAACTTCATTACTGATGTGAACTCCTGGGTATTGAGCCTGCACTTTGGAGAGAATTTGAAGATCAATTTCACCTAGAATACAAGCATAGGGAATGAATCAAATCGGTCCAGAAAGAAATAATTAAGAATAATTTGAGCTAGTTTATCTGTCTTAGTTTTACCAGGAAAGCCCATCATATATAAAAAATAATGCTCAACTCTTCCCATGCCACATTGTCTATGATGCAGAACAGCTAGGTTGTAAGTAGGAATAATAGTGTTATTTGAGGAGGGCTATGATTGCTATTCATTCATTCATTTGTTCATGCAATATCTATTATTGTATTACATTAAAGCTAAGATGTCATCAGTTATAAGATGCAATCAACTCTTCCTTTTGTACCGCTAAGTCAGAAAAAAACCACCATCAATTATAATTATAATTTTAAGATATCATTAACTGGAAGATGTATTACCCCCAATTCACAGATGTTAATATATATATTTATTCTAAGGTTCATTATTTATTCTAAGGTGCATATATATATAAATGCACCTTAGAATAAACTAGGCTAGGCTAGAAGCATACCAAAAAACATATCAGATGCAAAATATGTGGGGTACAAAAGAGGATATGAAAATACGTCAGACACCTGCCTTCAAAAACACTATGGCCTAATGGAAAGAACTTCGACTGGGTTCGACTGAGGTGGGAAGAGGAGAAGAATGAGGGAGAGAATAGGAAGAGGGACCAAAGAGATGGAGAGCTTAATGGAAGAAGAGCACTCTTGAGCTCTGCGTTATAGGGTAAGTGGTAATTAACCAGATACTTCTGAGGCAATGAGAATTGCAGGTAGAGGGGACAGGAAGATGGAGGTATGAGGTCAGAAAGCAGAACAGTATATGTGGGAGTGCTGGCAGTTCAGAGTTTTGGAATATTAGGCAAGGCAGGACCTCCAAGAAAGAGGTGATACCAGAGAGGTAAATGGAGAGGAGGTTATGGCAGAATAGATATTTATGCATCAATTCAAGCACCAACTATTGATTGTTTACTATGTGCCAGACACTGCACTAGGTGCTAGCAAATGATAAGAAGAGACATTGATACCCGCCCTGATGAAAATTTAGACTGTAAGTGATTGCATGAGAAAGATGGTGGTAAGCTGGATGAACTTGAGTCCAAATCTATCCTCTCCACTTACTAGGTGTTAATGATCTTTGGCAATTTGCTTTACCCCTCCAAGTTGTATTTTTCTCATTAGAAAAATAGCAATAATAGCACATAATTTATTGGTTATGAGGGTTACATGAGGCAATGCATATAAAATGCAGCACAAGATAGAGTTGGCACCCAATAAATGTGAATTGTTCATTTTATTGTTATTGACTCCCTCTCTTTAGAAATATGTCTTCTCTCCTTATTACTGATGCCTCCAACTAAAGTTTTATATTTTTATTCTTTTAGGTTATGATGTTGACATCTTCACTAAAATAGACCTATGTGCTGGCAAGACTAGCATATTAAAATGATGTTAATCTTTAATGTTTTGGCATAAATTACATTAAAAGAACCTTTTCAAGGTTAGATATGGCAGGCAACAAAAACAGATCACAAGACTGGGAGGTCTAGAATGAATAAGCTGAGGAAGATAAATCAGGAACAGAATATGCTAGTGTAGGAAAAGAGGGGAGTCTAAACATATAACGAGAGCCCCAAGTATTGGTAATAGGAGACAGTATGGAAATAAGAAGAAGGAGTGGAAAGAAAGCTGAAACGGAAGGTTAAGGACACCATGTGATAATTTTCTTCCAAACTGACCCAAACATGAAACCTTTAAATTTTTCTTAATGATTCCAGCTGACATTTATGGGCCACCTACTATTTATCAAAACTATATTAGGCATTTTACTTCAAACACCTCATTTAATCCTGACCACAGTGCTATCACAAACTCCACAAGATAATTCCCAAACACAAAAGGCACATCTGTCTGACTAAAATGTTTCTTCTATTTCATACTAAGAAATAGGAGGATACCAAATACTATAAGGACATAAGAAGATTTTTTTTTTTTTAATTTTCTAAGTAACTATTTTTGAAGGGTAAATAAAATAACTAACGCAAAGGCTGATAAGAAAATCTCCCGGCTAATGAGAAGTAGAGAGATTCTAGCTTGCCCCAAAGGACCAGAAACCAACAGCTCTGTTCTTGCTTCTATCAGCATAGCCATGTATTTTAAATTAAAAAAATACATATATCAATTTTGAGGCTCCCAAGTCCAACATTATGAAATTCAGATAGTTGAAATGCAATCCTTTCCCCTGGAGCTTAATGAGCTCTTCTTCCATTAACTTAGACCCCAACATTTTGGATCCGTGCAAATGACAGAAAGTATTTAGCACATTCCCAGGCTATGTTCCTGTCTTGTCACTTTCCCAACCACCAGAATGTTCTGCCATAGAACCAGCCAGTACCTTCTCCTAGGGCAGTGACAGAGGTCACAACGCTAGAACTGCAATTGAGACACGGAAACCATGTCTGATAACAACCTCTAGAGTGTGAGCCCATATATGGACAAGAACCATCTGTGCATTCACTGCTGGATCTCTAACAGAAATGAATGAACAACAAGAAGAGACAATAAAACTATTTCCTCAGGAGTTAGCACATCAAATCCATTTCTGACTTCATAAGTCAGGTGACCATATTTCCTGTTTGCTAGGGACAGTTCCACTTGATATCAAGTTCATTGTGCAGGTGTCCTATCTGGTTTTATTTTTTTAATAAAATATTATTATTAGAATTTTATTTTCAAAAATAGGTTTTTAAAAGAACTTTGATAAATAAGCAAATATAATAAAACAACTTGTTCAATAAATATTTCAAAAAGTTACAATAATTTTAATTCTTTTACCTTTGTTCTTGGTAAAAGTACTCCAACTCTCACTCTTAAAAGTATCTTGGGTTTGACAATAAGTAATGCCACCATGCCATAAGGCACTTATTTTCGGTGGTACGTTTGTTATTTATAATGGACTGTATTACTTCTTATTGTGAGTGAGATAGACAGACAGGTAGAGATAGAGAGCTCCCATAAGATAATATTCCCTTGGTCTCATATCCTACATAGTTTGCTTTCTAGTATTCCTAAAAAATAGGAGATATGCATTTTTAAAAATGATTTATCTGAATTTCTTCCTCAACAAAAAGAGAATCAATAGCGAGGTAGTTCAGATGTTCTATAGTATTACAACCTAGTCTAAACGTTTAGCATTTAGTTATATATATTTTCTTGATACATTACCTAGACTGTTCAGTATCCATCCAGTCACCCAAGCTTTGCTCTTTTCTTCATCCTCTCCCTGGCCATCTACACGTTTTCCTGCTAATTTTTTTTTTTTTTTCACTTTCTCTTTTCCGTCCCTACTAGCAATACCCTTGTTCAGGCCCAAATTATCTATCTCTTATAATACTGCAACAATGTCCTAAAACTTCAGCCTATCTCTTCTGAACTTTGTCTTCCTCAAAGGCATCACTACAACAAACATTCAAAACTCTAAGCTAAGCAATCCCATCATTTCCATGCTTAAAACTGTCTAATGACTAATCAACTGGGGAAAGTCTAAGCACCTTTAATTGAGCATAGACCACTCTGCCTGCTTCCTTATTCTCATCTCTCACAACTTCATATTTTGAAACTTCTGGTTCCAAGAACCCCAAGTTTCTTACATTTGCACTCCTCTCTCTCTCCTCTCTCCCCATATACATCATGCTCTTCCATGTTCTTGTCCATCGCCCATGTTTTCTCCTCTGCCAGGATTACTCTCCCCTCCCTTCCTCACTTAATCTGACTAAATTTTATGTATCTCGAACACTTCCACACATGACTAATTACCTTGATACTCTTTCTCCCAGAGCCTGGAAGTAGTGTCAGAGTCCTTGAGACCGAAACTGCCCATCAATTGACTGGAGTTGGTAAGACAGATAAAACCTTCTTGTGTTCCCTGATCTAAATTATTGCTTTACTTCACTATTTTATTCACTAGCAAAGGCTTGATTCCAATGAGTTTTTAAAACAGCATCAAAGATGCTAAAATGGTATTCTGAGCATCAGTCATTGAAAGGCATATGAAGGGCTATCAGATCCTATAGTACCATGAACTAACAGTTAAGAGATTCGAACAACAAAAAAAGAGGGAGTGGTGGAGGAAACAATTTGTTCTTTCTCAACTGAACCCTTCTGAGCAGGAGCTGTAATATGAATGTGCTCCAGTATCAGGCATTAGCACTCTATAAATTATTCTAGAGAGCACATGAGCCAAACTAATGTGCCAAAAGAATAGGGGAAAGTAAACTAGAAATGAGTCAATCAAATAATTCAGAAATTATGAGCAAATTCAGAGATAAACAAAAGTATGGAAGCCAGCAGCCTGCTTTTATTGTATACTGGAAAGCCTTCTGGGAAACTTGACTTTGAGATCCAGAAAACAGCATTTAAGTAGAATAAGGCAATACATGTTCATTTACGGTCACTCTCCTTTCACATATGGTTTCTCATTAGGCATTGTATAATCATAATTCTGATGAGTGCAGACTACTTATTTTGACATCCTAAGCCTTTAGATACATAAATGCAACAGTTCTTTGTGTTAACTAAAGCCTTATTATGTGTTTCCCTGTAAACTTTTGGAACAAAATCTGCAAAGTTTCCTGTGACAAATTGAAAAATTATGATTAAACAACTCTATTCCAATATACCATCTTCCTTTTCTTGCTCCCTCCCCTCCCCTCCTCATCCCTCCCATCTGTTCTCCTCTTCTCCTCTCTCTCTTTTTTGACTACCAAAGCAAATTAATAATTTTGGAGTCTGTGCATTTTATGATGACATAACTGATTTTCTCAATTTATCAATATGTAGAACTTGAGCAAGGTTAGGAAAACCCAGACATGTGTCAACTAACCATCAATCAAAAATTGTTTTCTATTAGGCTGGACTGTGGATTATTTTTGTTGTTGTTCTGTCCACTCCTATGCTATTTTCTATCAAACAGAATAAGCTGACCTTTTGATTTGGAAAGTTAAAACTAAATTT